GAATATCGACTGACCTGTTGAGCAGGAAGATGTTGTCACTGCAGGTCAAGGCCTCCAGAAGAACCTTCTTCTCAGAGATGGCTGTAGAGGAGTGAAACTTCATCCAGATAAACTCCCACACATCCTCATCCATCAGAGAAACACCTGTGCAGTACACAATGTCCCGCACGTTGGGTGGAATCCTGTGGGATAGAAGACAGAATATGTCAAAACATTCCAGTGAAGACGCACAATAACTATAAATGCTAATAAACGCTAATAAATAATACATGCTAATTTTAGCATTTAAATACTCATATTTAACATTTACAAGTGTATTGATGGAGCTAAATACATTAATTTATTATTTTCTTTGATGTGCATGAATACATGGAAAATAGTTAATAATGTTGATACATTAGCATATATGCAAACTGAATGCTAGAGGTGATTAGCATTCCTCTCTGTGACCAAGTCTGTTCATTAAACATTTACTAAGGGCTATTTACACACCATTAGATCACATTGTGTTCACACCTTTTTGGTTTTAATTCTTGAGAATGACATTTTCCTAAAGAGAGCATTTTTCATAGCAGGAATTTGTTACGTCCTCAGGGTTGTTTAAAGATAGCAAATCAAGTCAATGTTTCACCTCCAGAAGAATCAGTGAAAAACAGCTTGTGTATTTATAGATGTTTTTATTTGTATGCTTCTGTGAGAAGTTGATCTTTCTTTTGCGGTTTCTTCTATCCATTCAAAATGTTGAAAATGCACGAAATATCATTTAAAATAATAAGACACTCTTAGATTCAAAACTGTCAGACTCTGTTCCTTGTTTTGTGTGTGTTTTGCTCCCCGTGTGCCTTCCTTGCCCTTATTTGGTCTTCCTGTTCCTGCCCTGATTGTGTTTATTTGATCCCAGCTGTGTCCCATTGATTTCCTTGATTAGTCCCATAATATAAACCCTCTGTTTCTGAGTTTCCCTTGTCTGGAATTGAACGTCGATCCCTGTGTTCTACGTGTGGTTTTCCCTGTGGTAAATAAAGTCTGTGATAATTCTGGAATCTCCTTCGTCTCCTCGCTCCAGAGTAGGCACACCGTGACAAAAACGGACCACTTTTGGTTCAAGTGGTCTTCTGCTGTCTGCAATCACTTCGAATCACATGTCTTCTGGCACAGCGAAAAATGTCCATAATAACACCAGCTGATCTGATTAGATGATTTTTAGTGAGCACATCATTTAAGTGGTGAAAATTTGACCCAAATCATAATTGCAGGCCTCCCAAAGTGAGTCACAGTGCAATATATTGTCTAGCAATATATCGGTCATAAGAGCCCTCTCTGGACCCTTGATATCATCTGGTTATAAATCTCAGAAAAGAATAACTGTCTACAGTAGAGCTACACAGAGACAAACGCATCTCAGGCTGTGAGGCGATGCATGTAATATTCGTACAGGAAGAAGAAATAACATTAAACCTCTGGAGGAGCCGCGGCGATACAGTGACTGAACTTTTGATTTGCTCAAACAAAGCGCAATAAAGACCTGCTGATTCTGGATGAGCCGTCGGAGCCTCTGGGAGTTTTCAGTGTAGCAATACAGAAAACAGCACCTCCAGTAAGATATGAAATCATGTCACAACCAATTGGAGCGTATAGACTGAAATTTCCACACCTGTGAGAGTGATGTCTTGTTTATGACTGCCACTGACAGGAACGATAAGTGAATTCAGAAAAAGAATAATAAATAAAGAATAATATTTGTGACATTCCGTTAGCTGCCATTATATCGAGAAAATTCATGAATTTCATATATTTTCACAATAAAAATGGGTAACAGCACAAACCATAAATCTAGTTTTGACTTCTATAACTTTTCCTATTGTAACCTGAATATAAAGGTTAAATTTTCTCAAATATTTGCCACTGTGGAGGAGACATGTTTATAATAAAAGGCTGATATGAGATTTTGCAGGGAACGTGCAATATGTCTGCCGGATGCTTTTGTTCTTGAAACAATGTATAAAGTTTTTTTTGTGTATTTTACATTGTATTTATTTCCAATAGAGATAAAAAAAATGTATTATTAATTCACTCAATTCACTATACTAAAAATTCAGCTGGACTGGATTACTTTAACCGGTCTTTAATTTCAGTTTTCTTTTTTTAAGGCTGTGGTTTCCTGTTTATAATCAGTAAAGCACATCAGATGGATTTGTCAGCGTTATGAGGCGATGCATGTAATATTCGTACAGGAAGAAGAAATAACATTAAACCTCTGGAGGAGCCGCGGCGATACAATGACTGAACTTTTGATTTGCTCAAACAAAGCGCAATAAAGACCTGCTGATTCTGGATGAGCCGTCGGAGCCTCTGGGAGTTTTCAGTGTAGCAATACAGAAAACAGCACCTCCAGTAAGATATGAAATCATGTCACAACCAATTGGAGCGTATAGACTGAAATTTCCACACCTGTGAGAGTGATGTCTTGTTTATGACTGCCACTGACAGGAACGATAAGTGAATTCAGAAAAAGAATAATAAATAAAGAATAATATTTGTGACATTCTGTTAGCTGCCATTATATCGAGAAAATTCATGAATTTCATATATTTTCACAATAAAAATGGGTAACAGCACAAACCATAAATCTAGTTTTGACTTCTATAACTTTTCCTATTGTAACCTGAATATAAAGGTTAAATTTTCTCAAATATTTGCCACTGTGGAGGAGACATGTTTATAATAAAAGGCTGATATGAGATTTTGCAGGGAACGTGCAATATGTCTGCCGGATGCTTTTGTTCTTGAAACAATGTATAAAGTTTTTTTTGTGTATTTTACATTGTATTTATTTCCAATAGAGATAAAAAAAATGTATTATTAATTCACTCAATTCACTATACTAAAAATTCAGCTGGACTGGATTACTTTAACCGGTCTTTAATTTCAGTTTTCTTTTTTTAAGGCTGTGGTTTCCTGTTTATAATCAGTAAAGCACATCAGATGGATTTGTCAGCGTTATAGTGATTGCAGCTCATAAACGCTGCCGGGTCATTCATGTGACATTATCATCACCTAAACCATAAAAAGACATAAAGGTCAAACACATTCCTCTTTTATGATGTGCTCATCCCTGAATATCAAACTGAACAGATTCTTTTTATTGTCCCAGTAGGACTGGAGGTCATTTTTGAAGAAAAGGACAGTGAAGGACACATCTGGCAGATCCAGACTTCTGCAGACAGGTAAGAGGGAAACAGCACAATACAATTATGACATATCCATCAAATGCAAAATGTAGTTAAAATTGCCAAACTTATAAACAATAATCAGTATCAAAAGGATGGTATAACTACAGTAATAACATAAAAACAATGTAGAAGAAAGGCAGGTTAATCTCTAGCAGATGAATTTCAGAACTTATTTCTTGCCATCTGTTGACTTTGACAAGTCGTACAAGAGAAACTAAAGCATTTTGAATCAGTCGTTCTGGATAAAAGTATCTGCTAAATGCCTTAAATGTAAAAAAAATATCTCAAATATGAGTGCTTTCATGAGCTCTAACTCTCTGCCAGTGGATTAGACTAACCTGTCCACATGATGATATGTCTAGCAGGAGGGATTGTGTTCAGAGACAGAGTACAGAGACTTTCTGTGTGTTCTGACATGATCAGAAACCTCTTACTGGACTCCACGGGGTAATAATTGCAGAGCCACTGTCAGAGCAATTGAGTAGTTTCAGGCCAAAAGAGTGGAAAATCTTTGACTGAGCAGGTCAAAAACTGGTTGAATTCAACTGAGTGTGTATTTCACATGTTGAAAGCAGGAATATTAGGCCAAAAAGCTTTGAAATTGAGCAGCCCACTTTTATTAGAGTCATGTTAGAGGCCTCAGAAGTCATTAAATTCACATTATATGAAGCCAAGGTCAATATGTAACACATTTTATGTGTAATAAAGCCTTTGTGTGTGTGCATTTAAGGTCTGTCTGTCTGTCAATTTTAGGCTCAGTTTTGAAGAAGCCAGCTAGCAAATTTCCAATGCAACTAAGGCATAGGTAAGGCTGGGAAAGATTTAGCTTTACCCAGAAATTAACGAGGGGTTGGGGCAAAAATGCCACCAAATTGGACAAAAATGCCACCACACAATTAAACTAAATCTACTAAACTAAATCTAATCTATTAGGCCTGTCGCGAATAAATTGAAAATGGATTGAAAAGTGTCAATTGTGGCATTGAATATAGATCTGCTCATCTTGCATCATGTTTCTTTTTATGTGTTTTTACAGTGTTGCACATTATAACATATCACACATGATTCTGTTTAGCTTATGAATGCAGTGGCCAATCAGAGGCGTTCAGATTAGTTGCTAACCATTAGGTTACATACTTTTAGCCTTACCATGGAGTTGGTCCACCCTCCCCCTTATTTGTCTGAGGTTGCCAGTGTGCTCTATACAGTATATATATATGGTATTTCGTGTGTTTGTAGGCATGCTGCCCACTGTTTGGCTCAAACACAAAAAAATAATAATTTCCTAAAAGCTGGGCGAACACAATATCTTGGGCAGAGTAAGAACACACACCCACGATCCTGTTTATTCTCCATTATGGTCATTAGTCCCTGCCGGTGGCATGGTGTGTTTGACAGTGTGATCCTGCATACATGAATGTGAACATTGCTGTGGGAAGCAGAGAAAACAAATTAGATGAACAAATGCGTGTTGCCATGGACACTTGGAATAAAGCTCCTACTGTATGAATCTTGGCAGGGCTGAACATAAAGAACAATAACCAGTCATATTTTGCAATACATTTGGATGAGTTTAGCAATAGAATTCCAGAAATTATAACATATCTGTTGTGAATGTGCATCACATTCATTTTTTGTACACCAGGTCACACCTGTGTTTAGGTGTGGGTGTCATTCTGTAAATTCTGTTAATTTGCTCACCTGTTCTTGTTGCTGGAAATCCAGTCTGAAATGAGAGAAACAGCCTGCCGGTGACAGTGTTTGTTTCCAAAACTGCAGGCCAGCATGATTACCTCTCTCTGTAGCTCTCTAAGGAATAAATGGGAAGGATACCAGCAGGAAAGTACATCAGCAGGAAGTTAAAGATGGAGGAAGGGGAAAATTAAAAATTAAATACTACTGAGGTCATTCCCATCTGAGGAGGAAAATATCTCACTCACACTTTGCAATTCAGTGTCCTTACTTAGACCACATATATGTTTATAAGTGTAATATATAATTCAAGAAATATGAAATTCAAGACTCACTCGGTCTGATAAGCCGCCTGCATGAAGGAGCCCTCAGGGGAAGTGGCTGGCCAGCCCAACTTGTGATACTTCGGTTCCACCTGTCTAAGAACATAGTCCTAACAAAACAAAACAAAACAAAACAAAACAGAACAGAAAGGGAAGCAAAGAAATTATTGAAGCAAAACAAAACAAGAAACGCAAAGTCAAGCAAAACCAAACAAAAGTGCAAAACAAAAGGCAGAAAAGAGTCAGTACGGTTGCCATGTTGAGACCAGGATTTAAATTATAAGTTTTTTTTTAAAAGTGATAAATGAATATAAAAGCAGGTGGACAGGTAAGACAGGGAAACAGACACTGTCACGTTAGGCTGCGCTCAGAATGGAATACTAGTACACTGCATACTGTGCAGTACACACTGCATACTGCATACTATCTTATACAACATGGAAATGTTCATAATGCCTTTTTTGGTATTATACTTTTATATACTCCTTATACTTTTAAATATAATTTTAGTGTGTCATCTGGCAGTAAACACAATGATGGAGAGAAATAGAGAGAAGAAGCTATTAAATTCATCACACTCTCACTGCCGACACTAAACCATCGTCCATTACAGAGGAGGGGCAGAAATGACTCATGTGCACCGAGGGATTGTGGGTAGGCGTTTGAGTGATATTTTGAATAACAAAGTGATAAATGAATATGAAAGCAGGTGGACAGGTAAGACAGGGAAACAAACACTGTCACGTTAGGCTGCGTTCAGAATGGAAAAATTGAGACGGATCCTGCCGGAACAGGATCCGGGACCTCTCAGGTTTTGACTGTCTGTGTTCCGGTACCTATTTGCGCGGATCCGCCACCTCACATGGTATAAAAACAACAATAACACAAAACAAAATATGTTACATATATATAATGAATTATACATATACGTATATATACAATATAACATGCACATTTTTATTCTAATGTTGCATGTTCAAATATTCAGAAACATATTTCAGAAGAAATGAAAAGAAAACTATTTGAAAAAATAGTGCAGTGTGCACCTAAACTCAGTCTAATGTTGGATGAGTCGACTAGCTTAAATAAAAAGAGTGCTTTGATCATATACGTTAGGGTTCAGTTGCCAGGTATGGACATGCCTACAAACATTTTTACTGAACTCGTAGAGCTAGATGACCTAACTGCTGAAGGAATTGTCCGTCATCTATTATCTGCTTTGGAGCGTTTAAATTTGACTGAGGAATTTCTTTCTAAAACCCTCATTGGAGTAACATGTGATGGCACTTCTGTTATGTTAGGGCGCAAAAGCGGAGTAGCAAGTAGGCTCAGGGACATTTTCCCAAATATTACTGTCTGGCACTGCTCAGCCCATAGGCTTGAACTTGTGAAAGAGATAGGCGCTATTAATTATTTTAAAATATTAATGGACAAACTGTATGCAATTTATAGCGCATCTAACAAAAACCGGATGGAGCTAAAGGATGCTGCAAAGAGTTTAGATGTCATGCTATGCAAAATTGGTCGGATATTAGACACAAGATGGGTGACATCAAGTTTTAGAACAGTAGAAGCTGTGTGGAAAAATTACCCAGCACTTTACAAGCATTTTAAAACGGCTTCAGAGGATCCCGCTCGTGATAGCATCACAAAGCAAACATACAATGGACTCGTTAAGCGCTTATCTTCCTTTGCGTTTGTAAACAACCTTGGCATTATCTGCAATGCATTGCAAGAATGATCTGAACTGTCACTTGAGATTCAAAAAAGAGAAAGTAGCATAATATCTGCCCACAAGGCAATTTGTAGGCAAATCAGGGTATTTGAGGCAATGGCTGAAAGGCCAGGGCGCTACACTGAACTTAGCCAGAGGGGAATTGATGCTAACTCATTCCAGGGCGTCCCAGTCCCAAAAGGAAAACTCAGCGACAAAACGTTAAACCAAAGGCTGTTTTTCTCAAGTTTGGCTAAGAACATGGAGGAACGTATGTTATCTCAAGGTGGGCGGCTGCCGGATAAGACTGGATACAACAAGTTTATTGAGGAGTTGAAGGTGCTTTACGCACAGTACTGGCCCGAGAACACTGGTGCAACGTATGGAGAGACTGAAGTTTAATCGCTCTGTCGGCACTTTGACATTGACAGCCCACGCGCAGTCATTCGGGCCTAAAGAGAGTACAGAGATTCAGATGGAAAATGCATCCCTGATAAACTGAAGGAGCTATTTGCGGCTGTCAATAGCATTTCTATATCAAGTGCCGAGTGTGAGTGTGGATTTTCTCAAATGAACTTGATTTGCTCCCCGAACCGTGCCTCTCTGCACACATCCACCATATCATACTTACTTTTTCTGAATCTTGTTGGAACCCCCCCTTTCGAAATTCAACCCAGTTCCTTACGTAAGGTCGTGGATAGCCAAAGGACACAGAACTGCCACAGACATACGCAGTAAAACCCGAAACCGGGAGGAGGAGAATCACGACATGGCTTTGGTATGGGGTGTTTTAGACAACTAGATAAGGTAAGCAAGCGTTTGTTTATCTATTCATATTATAGACAGCTTTGTGTAATTGTGAACTGTGAAGTATGCTATACCTGTTGCGAAATTAATTGCTGACTGCAAATGCTGCAAGTTCAACAGTTAAGCATGAGGTTGATGTGGGCTTTTGAGTGTTGTGAAGATTAGTACAATAGTAAGAGGGTAGGCTAGTTGAGCACATAGCATGCTGTTTTCAGCACCGTTTTTTGTGCATTCCGGGACCTGCACCTGTCTCGTCACACCTCCGCTCTAATATGCGTTTTGCGTTCCGGCACCTTTTGATTTACAAATTAAGCACTGTGTATACTGCAGAAATAGTATGAGAAATATGGTAGTATGATATTTTGAACATTAGCAATGGTGGAGATTTGACACTGTTTTAGTAAGTATGAGTTTATAAAATGCTGCAGCAAACAGGCATTGTGTCTGGAAACATTTTGGACTGCTGTTTTGGATGATGATCAGAGGCATTTTTGAGTTCGATCTGTCTGGCGGTGAGTCGAGTCATCTGAGACGTGCTGCTAGATATCAGCCGTGTCTTTCTTATTGCTCTAGTCAAGGTTAAAATACAACAAACCGCAAACTGATGTGAGATCAGACTCACGCTGAACAGGCTGTGGTCTTCAGTGCGGTCCAGGAGTTTGTCCAGCTGGTAAAGAGCTCGACTAGCAGCGTGCCACGGCAGAAACTCAGTCTCCTGAGACAAATACGAGATCATCTGCAGGGGGACGTTTTGGGGCAAATACCCCGCTCTAGAGAAAAGAAAGAAAGCATGAGGATCAGACACTAGCAGCTCATTTTTACACATATTTCCCCTTTGGAAGACACATCGTTAACATTTGATTACAAACAGTTCATTTTGTTCATCATTATTCGTTTAGAATAACTGCCAGGCATTGTGCTTTGCGTGGGGAGTCATAATGTGCTGTAAGAAACAAAAAAACAGCTTCTCCTGTACGGCTACAGTCGTGTTCAATTTGCATAACTCCATAATACATAAGATCTCTTCTAAAACACAGACATGAGCGTTAACAGCACATATTCACTGTCATTTGGAGCGGCACATCAAATCCCAGATGTACTTCAGCAGGACCTTGGGCTGTAGTCAAATAAGGCTGTGTTTCTAGGCCACACATCGTTACCTCCTCCATTTATTTTCCTTTCATGTTTCCTCTGACTTTCCCTTCAGTCTTTTAGAAACTCCCACAAGTCTCTCATGAGAGTGGAAAAAAAGAGAAGTGGCCGACATCCTTAGAGCAAAAACAAAAGAGAGACTAGAATTTCCAAGAGTCTAGAATCCAGCGAATGCTTTGGTTTTTGCTAAAGCACACACCTTTGGCCACCCAGAATTCCTTGGCACCGTTCTTGAAACCCAAACATCACGGGAAGGAGTTTTGCATACCCAAGCAACACTCAAAAAATCAAAAAAATCTAGTTGAGATCATATTTATGTTCCACCTGCGCTGTTAAAGGCCTTTCTCTGACTCATAATGCAGGAAATTCATCTTAATTTCACACAATTTCATGCAGGGCACATAAGCGCTCCCTATCAGAGGTCAGGCAAAAAAAGAAAGTGATCAGACTTGAAAACGGACTCATTAAATTCTGGAGGACAGATTCACCCAACGCACATTTAATTGGGACATTAATCACAGTTACTCACAGACACCCACTGTTACCCAAGGAGGGTTTTAACATCTTCATGGAAACTGATTTGCATTCACATTAGCAGGAGACAACTGAGGCTGTGAAGAATTAAAAACAAACTATTTCAACATTTCCATGGTGAAGCAGCAAATGCATTTAGGATATCAAGGAAAGATAAATGAATGCTGTTTAACTGAAAAGAGTTTTATCTCAAGGTGTTCAAAGAGGTTTGTGTCTAATTGAGATCAGGAACCATGTTCTTCTTCCTTTGAACAGCCTGTTAATATATTACAGAAGGAAGGAAAGTTTTCAAATTGGATATCAGCATAACATCTTTGCTCGGTGATATTTTAAAAAAAATCCAAAATATTCATAAAACAAAAGCAAAACTCAAAATATTAAAAACATGAATAACTGACATTCAGTGCAGACCTGAAGCAGAGTAGCTGTATTGACTACCAATAATTCAACTGTTTAAAAGTCAATAATTAAGCTATTACCATGATTAACACATAAATATGTGTTTATCTCAAAACATTTTCAGGATTTTGTCTAAACCTTAGAGTAGAAAGACTTGCATACACCATTGTTATCCAAGCTGTTGCTAACCAGAATAAAGCATTAAACTGTGGTCTAATGAGAAATAATTGTATAACAATAAACAATTAATCAGCCTCTAATGATGCCAAGGCACTTGAAACACTCATCGACTGTCATTCTTTCACACTGATTACATGGAAATATTCAATATATATTTTCCTAATTGATGTGTGCACAAGACATGAAGGATGCAGTCTTGACACAGAGACAAGAGCTTAGTGTGTTTCTCCTTGAGCTTCAACACTTTAAGACGCAGTAGCATATAAATGACTGCAAACCATGTATATAAACACACACACACACACACACACACACACTGTATATGTGTGTATATAAATGATTTAATATAGCCTTTAATAGAAACTATTAAAGTTTGTATCAAATATTAAAGTGTGCTTCTTCAGAGGAAAAATAAAGCATATGACATAATGGTTCTCATTTATATTTAGAGACACTTCCATTATTACCACATTCCAACAGCAGCGGCTGGAATAAGGCCATTTAGTTTATCCTTTCCATAAAAACTTCCCTTTTCTTTTTTCTTTTTGCATTATTCAGGGGAAATATTCATTAAAAAATAAAAGAACACAACATGGCCATAAAACTATGATGAGGCACTGACGTTTTCCCTGCTGTTAGTGAGCACAGTAATGAATGAGTTGATCACTCTCATGCTTTTGGGACGTGAAAACACACACATATACACACAAAGTCAGCGAGTTGAAAATAACAGTATGTGGCTCTTGAACACAGAGGGAATTGTTTTAACATGATTTACACGTTGGATTTTTTTTATCTAAATGAAAAAGCTGTTTAATTTTTAAACAAGGCAAATGTCACTGACATTGAAATAACTCATGAGTAACACATCAGTCTCCTAAATAAATCATTCTTCTAAATTGACCTGTAATTGTAGCTCATTTAGTCGAGGCTTTAGCAGAGCATTTCAAACAGGCCTATTAAGAAGCTCCATCACTCTGAGTCAAATGAGATCTCACTATGTGCATAAAAAATATCGTGTCAAAGGAAAAAGAATATGAAAAAGTCTAAAATATTCTAGCACCGTTCTTTAACTCGTTCTCGCAGTTGTGTGAGAAATGAGTTGTCGACAGGAGTTGTGATGTTTTACAAGCGCTACAAACAAACCTTCTGTCTGCATGGAAACAACCTGCAGATGATGCTAATATCAGGTTAGAAACAGATCAGCGTTTCTATGAAAGTTCAAACTGTTGTGTGTCAAGACAAGTAGCTAGTGATTGCAGTAATAACAGCAACTGTATTTGCTTTAATTTAGTTTAGTAGAACTGAAGCTACACTCACCATAAACTGCTAATTTAAGACTATAATGTGTTGATTGAATGAATGAATGAATGAATGAATAGAGACACACACACTGGACAAGAAATGTTTGTAAAATTGTAACTGTAAACAGCTGATCACTTCATGAATTGACAGCCTGTCTGCTAATCTTCAATGTGATAAAGCATTTAAATTTATTTTCCATATGTATTAATAAGAGAAATTATCACAAATGTTATTCACAAACAAGTCATAAATCTGATCAGTTCTGAATCATATGTATTTATTTATTTATTAATCTGGGGTCTTGTAGATGTTCTGAACAGCTGGTAACTTACAAATGTTAGAAGACAAAGTGAAAAAGTATTTCAAACATATTTCCCGTTTGTCTTCCTTGTGCTTTTGTTTTGTAGTCTTTCAGTTTGTAGTTTGCCTCGTTTAGTTCCTGTTCTTGTTTCCCCTTGTTAATTGTTGATCGATTCCACCTGTGTCTTGTTAGTCTTATTACGCCAGTCTATATAAGACTTTGTGTCTTCATTTGTTACTTGTCTTTCTTTAGTGGTTTGTTGAGTTTGTGCTGTTCTGTTTTCTACATTTCCTAGTTCTCTGTCTTTTGGTTATCTGTATTTTTTTAGTAGCCTATATACATCACTGTATTAGCCTATATGCACTCAATTTAATTTGTTTTCATTATAAGTTGAATATGACTCTTTTTTTAATTAACCCAAAATCTTTGTAGAGCTGGGACTAGCGAATATTCTAATAACTCTTGTGCTTTAAAGATGGAAAAGCTATGCAATTAACCCAGTTATTCTATTCATCAATTAACAATGCACTTAAAATATTATCTTTATTCTTAAACTAGGCTTCACTAACATCACCAGCTTTCTTCTCCTCAATTGATCCAGTAATTCATAATCACAATAAAGGCTGACTGAGCTCTGTGAGGCAGTATTGATCTGTGAGTGACTCCCATGAGCACCAGGGGCATTTAATTAGGTAACATCACTCGAGTCATATGAACACTCTTCATCATCCCAGTAATTTACAGAGAAATTAGACATTTGTCACATTGTGATTAATGATGATGCTGTTTTTAATATGCAGGTTGGCATTTTCGCTTCTCAAGTACGTAAGAGCCAATAACCACCTCCACAGATCTGAGCCCTGAGGTTGAACAAGACATCCTGTTAACATTCGCTCTTATTTATTAGGATTAGCTGTAAACAACAGCAGAGAGAAACAATATGTACAAACCTGACTGAAATCAAAACTCAGGAACAAAAGGATTTGCCTTCAGTCCTGTTAAGTTTCAATTATCCAGCTCTTCAGTAAACGAGGCCAAACCGAATAAACAGACTAAATGAACATGACGTACCACAACGCAGGGGAACAGGTTTCCATTCTCGGCCCAACGTCACAGCAATAAACACAAGTTTCCCTGCAGGTTTGTCGTCAGTTGACTGAATCTTCATTCTTAGGAAACATCTGTGGCCAAAAACACAATTCTCCACGACGAGAGCTGCACAGCGCCGGCAGATGAGCCTGTCGCTTCAGTTTGATGAAGAGCGGTGCTAATGCTAGCAGAGCATCTGGCAGCTTCCTCAGTTAGTTTGGTGGAAGAATAAAAATAACTGTCCTGTAAAACTAATGAATTTCACAATCTTTACAAACCGCATCTACGGTAAATACACAACATTCAATGTTTAAGAAAGTCCATCAGTGATACTCAAACACTGTTTTGGCTGCCGACTGATTCTGGCTGCCAGCGATTGAAATTTCCTTCATTAACCCTTAAATGCATACCTCGGGTCTTTAGCGACCCGAGACATCATTCTCTACCCTCTCCCTCCTTCATTTTTTAAAGTTAGACATCAACTTTCTTAGTATTCCTCAATCTATTCATTATAAACAATATAACAAGAAAAAAATTGTAAAATATGAAAGAATGCCTGTTTTCTGATTAATGTTTTGTAAAAAGTGTACAGGGTCGCTACAGACCCGAGGTATGTAAATGAAAAAGTATTTTTTTCCTGCACGACTATATTTACATATCTGATGACTCAATTTGTGCAATGCATCTTTTTTCCTCAAGGTGGCACTGTTTGATACACAATGATGATGTGATGTTTCACTCATAATTACCGCAGGCGTAAAACAAACGAGTATCATCAGCAAAAATTGAACTGGTTTGAATGGCTTTACT